AGCGCGGTGCGCCGGCCGCAGCGCGCCAGCCGTGCCGGCCATTGGAGGGTGAACCAATGGCAAAAAGAAGACCTTTCTCTCTGTCTCTCTCTCTCACTATCCACTCTGCCTGTTTTTTAAAAAAATGAATGTAGTATAATTTGGTGCAGACATTGATCTTATTCACTGTAAAACTAGTCAAAAATTGTCTAGATAATGTCTGTCATTTGCTGTGTTTTCAGTTTTGTTGTTATATCACCCTGGGCATTAAGGAACCAAAAGATACTCTTTAAAGAGTTGTGTAGTAATCTTTGCTTTAGGTTTAAAATGAGTGTCCTGTTTTTTAAAGGGTTTATAAGTATTTGAGTAGCCCATTTTCTTTTTCAATTTTGATGGGAAAAGTATCTATCTATCCACCTATCTTTTATGTTCATCTCAGTCAAATATAATTTTCTTTCCAAGTTCTCTTGTTAAGTTAATTGCTTAATCTACTACTTAATAAATTGTAAATAACAATACTTAATTAATTCTAATAAAACTTCTCTTAACCTCTTTCAAAAAATCCCAACTTTTACGTAATAAATAAAAATGCATTTAGCCTATGCTTCTTTGTACCTCTGCACTTTCAGACTCACAGGATTGGATAGCTGAAGTCATCCTGCTGTCATACGAACAGTCATTTTTCTCGCTGAATTTCTCTGGATATTTTTTTCAGCCCCATGTGTGTCCTCACCTCTCACCCCTGTACTTGACATCTTAGGTTTCCCCACGAAGACTCGCAGCAGCCACTACTGCAGCACTTTTCAGGTGGAGATGAGTGTGTGTGTGTGTGTGTGTGTGTGTTCCCTCAGGAATGTCCACTGAGAATAAGTCAGTAATAACACAAGACCAAGGTCACGGATTGAGTTCTGCTAATTTCCTTAAATGTTTCCTAGGCATATTAACTGTGAACTCAATGGAGAATTTGATATATTTATTCTGTGTCTTCCAATATATCTCAAAACTGTATAGAGTCATATATTGTAACATTTTAATTCAGTAATTACATGCAGGAATGTGTCTATATATATTAATTTATTTGTCAGCTGTGATTTTATTGGTTAGCCAGTTTAGTACATTAAAGTGAATGTGATAAATTTAATACAAATATATTCCCAGAAATTCTTACAATATTGAGTTGGGGAATAATTAAAGAATTAGGTACTATTCTCATTATGTCAAAAATCACTAGTAAACGATTAAAGTATTTTTTAAGTTTCAAAATAGGTAATAAAAGGATAGCATTAATCACTTTGGGAGATACTAGTTAGAAACTATCAAACATTATACATTTTTTATTACAGATAATGCCCTGAATGGTCTTATATTTTTCCCATGGTTTCCAGTAATTGAATTACTGGTGTGTTTTTCTTGGAGAAGTGCCTATTGGTACAGTTTAACCTTTCTATTCCCTAGCTTTTTTGCTGTGGTAAAACACACATCACATAAGTTTGCACAGTAATTGTGTGTGCTGTTCTATTCCATGACATTAGATGCATACCTCTGTGTGCCCGTCAGCACCATCCCCCTCGCCCTGAACCAGGGCCTCCTGCTGCCCCCGCCCCAGTCCTGCTCCCTGTTCCTCAGTCCGAGCTGTGGGAACCACCTCTTCTGAGCGCTCCTCCACACAAAACAGGACTCATTCACTTGGGAACGTGCTCTCCAGTCTGGCCTGTGTGGCAGCACGCGGCCACAGAATGCTCCACAGCACTGACTCGTCACATGCTCTCCAGTTGTCCTCTGGCACTTGGATCCTGTCCACACTTGGGCTACCGTGGGTCACAGTGCTATGAACTGTGTTTACAGTATGTTTGAGCACTGGCTTTCAAGTCTCATTTACACCCAGAAGTAGAATTTCTGGGCATAGACTAGTTCTGTTTTAACACTTTGAGGACACACCATGCTGTTTTTCACAGTGGCTATCATTTAAAATCCCCATCAACAATGCACAAGGACCCCGATTTCTCCAAGTCCTGTCACCTGTGCCAGCACTCATTGTCTCCTCTTTTTTTTTTTTTTTTTTTTTTTTTTTTTTTTGATAATAGGTTTCCTAAAGGGATGAGGGTTTATCTCATTGTGGCTTTCATTTGCATTTCCCTAATTGCTCATAAATTGACCATCTTATCATGAACTTGTCCACTGTGTATATTTTTAAAAAGATTTTATTTATTTGAGAGGCAGAGTTACAGACAGTGAGAGACAGAGAGACAGATAAAAAGGTCTTCCATCTGTGGTTCACTCCACAAAGGCTGTGGTGGCCGGAGCTGTGCTGATCCAAAGCCAGGAGTTAGAAGATTCTTCTGGGTCTCCCGTGAGAGTTCAGGGGCCCAAGGACTTGGGCCATCTTCCACTGCTTTCCCAGACCATAGCAGAGAGCTGGTCGGAAGAGGAGCAGCCATGACTAGAACCAGTGCCCATATGGGATGATGGCAATGCAGGCGGAGGATTAACCTGCTGCGGCACAGCGCCAGCCCCACTGTGTATATTCTTTGGAAAAATCTGTAATTAAATCCTCTGCCCATTTAAATCTTTTTGACCATTGTTGGTACTAAGGTAGAGTTACTTATATAGTTTGGATATTTGTATGTTGTCCGTATTAATTACAAATATTTTCTCCAATTGCATGTGTCATCTTTTCAATCTGTTGAAAGCGTTCTTTGAGGTACAAACATTTTTAATTTTTATGGATTACAAGTTAACTATTTGTCTTTCATGACCTGTGACTTTGATATAATCCAAGAAATCATTGCTAAAGTCAGTGCAATGAGTATTTTTGACTGTTGCTTTGCAGTTAGTTTTGAAATCAGCGAGGATAAACTGTCCTACTTTAATCATTGTAAACTTGCTTTAATGCTTTGATTGAGATTTAAAATTAATTTCAAGATATCATTTTCTATTTCTGTAAAAAGTAGCATTGAGATTTTTATACAGATTGTATCGAATTTGTAAATGATTTTGAGTAGTGTTGTCATTTGAACAACAGTGAGTGTTCCAATCCATGAACTTAGGATGCCTTTCCATTAATTTATGCATGTAGTGGGCCCCATGCTCCTATTTAGATAACTTTGCCCAGGTGGCTCTGAGACCACAAAGAGTCCCCATCCTGAGATCTGCACGCTCCAGCCATGCGTGTCCTTGCTGGGTCTCAGGGAGAAGGAAGAAGAGGAGGGCAGAGGAGTTCTCACAGGCCGAGTGTGCACCCCGTGCCGACCCACCACACCTCCAGATGGCCTTCAGACACCTGGCAGGGGCAAGCTTGCTACTTCATTTTCATTCTGTGAGTCAAAGTGGAGTGTTTTGAGATTAGATGATTCAATTACTGAGAAACAGTAAACTAATTCATAGTGGTCCCTTTCAGAAAGCAAAGTGTGAATGAAATAAAAGTGAACAGAATCCAAAGACCTGGAAAATCCCAACACAGGCACCAAGCCAGCGAAGTCCTCAACACAACACACAGCCGTGGCAGATGAAACCACAGACAATCTTGCAGCACTGGTAAACACCGGCTCCGAGGCATGAAGGGAAGTCTAGACAAATAATCTGCCAGTATTTAACTACAGGGAAAATTCCTGTTGTCTTGGGAAGCCCCAGAAAGTTTAGAAATGTGTTGATTTGGTCTAGTTTTTTATATTTCTAAACATGAACGTTGGCTTCCACATGTACAGAGGAATCATCAAAATCGTTAACAAGGGCGTGTGCTTGCCGCAGAACTTGGCTCTGTGTGGCCCCTTGAGCCTAAGGAGCATCAGAAAAAGCCTGCTAGTGTACTTGGCCATGCTAGTGAGGGCACCTGGCATTAACCATGGCAATAGGCGGTGTTGGCATACAGAGCCACACTCTGATGCCACTGGGTCTGCCCCTCCTCTGCCCCACGAGTTCCAGGGGCTCCACTGTTTGAAAAGACAGAGGAGACAGGAAATGATGCCTCTTGCTCTGTCCCAGCGTTCACTGCCCAGAGCTAATCACATGGCTGTTACTAAAATCTCATGGAAATATGGGCAATCCGGTGTCTGTGAAGCCTTGCCTTTGATACAAATGCTTTATATAACACCAAGTCAGTGCAAGTAGGTACTATTAACAAAATGGTATCGAGTATGTAGTTTTCTTTCTTTTTTAAAAAGATTTATTTATGTATTTGAAAGTCAGAGTTACAGAGAGAAAGAGAGAAGGAGAAGCAGAGAGAGAGAGAGAGAGGTCTTCCATCCTCTGGTTCACTCCCCAATTGGCCACAATGGCTGGAGCTGGGCCAATCTGAAGCCAGGAGCTGGGAGCTTCTTCTGGGTCTCCCACATGGGTGCAGGGGCCCAAGGACTTGGGCCATCTTCTGATGCTTTCCCAGGCATAGCAGAGAGCTGGGAGGTCCCCATATGGGATGCCAGCATTGCAGGCGGCTCTTTATCTGCTATGCCACAGTGCCGGCCCCTATAATTTTCTTTTAAAAATTATTTATTTGAGAGGGACAGCTACAGACAGGGAGGGGGAGAGAGAGAGAGGCGCTCCATCTGCTGGTGTACTCCCAAATGACTACAATGGCTGGATCTGGGCCGATCTGAAGCCAGGAGCCTCCTTTGGGTCCTCCATGTAGGCATGGGGGCCCAAGCACCTGGGCCATCCTCCCACTGCTCTCCCAGGCCATTAGCAGGGAGCTGGATTGGAAGGGGAGCAGCCAGGACTACAACTGTCACCCATATGGGATGCCAGAGTCATAGGTGGAGGCTTAACCTACTATGCCACAGCATCAGTCCCTTGGTATGTAGTTTTAAAAGGGTTGCAATGAAAGTAAATTTTCTTCTCTCTCTCTCTCTTTTTTTTTTAATTTTGTGCCTTTGTCCTGAGACAGAGCACACTTTGCTTCCAAGTGAAAAGATGTCACTCAACATGGATGGAGAGGTAGATATGGGTGCGTGGTTAGGTCAAGAAAGGTCACAAAGAAACACCTGGTGGACACCTTCGGTAACCTTGGGATCCCCCACCCCGGCTCTTCACATCTGCGCTTTCATACATGACAAGCACTCCCCTAGGATTCTTCCCAGGGCCCCCATCACATCCCTGTTTCGAAGACTGTAGATCATGGGATTGAGCATGGGAGTCAGAATGGTGTAGAAGACAGATGCTACCTTGTCTTGGCCTGAAGTGTGGGAAGAGATTGGCCTCATATACATGAAAATGATGGCACTGTAATACAGGCTGACTACCATCAAGTGGGACGAGCAGGTGGAGAAAGCTTTCTTCCGGCCCTCGGCAGAAGTCATTTGGATGATGGTGATCAGGATGAGTGAGTAGGAGGCGAGGATGGCTGAGAAAGGGATAAGGAGCAGAACCGTGGTGCTGATCAACACACCCATCTCATAGGCAGAGGTGTCCTCACAGGAGAGACGCAGGACACCAGGAAGTTCGCAGTAGAAATGATGGATCTCTCTGGGCCCACAGAAGGGGAGTCTCACGGTGTAAACGGTGTGAATCAAGGCATTGACAGCTCCACTCGCCCATGAGCTGGCTGTCACCTGCCTGCAGAGGGCCCAGTTCATGAGGAGCGGGTAGTGAAGAGGCTTGCAGATGGCAACGTATCGGTCGTAGGCCATGAGGCCCAAGAGGAGACACTCAGTTCCACCTAACGCCAACCCTAGGAAGATTTGCGTGCCACAGCCAGCAGCAGAAATGAGCATCCTGTGCAGCAGGTAGTCAGACACCGTCTTGGGGATGATGGCGAGTGTGAAGAGGATGTCGATGAGAGAGAGCTGCCAATAGAACAGGTACATGGGGGTGTGGAGCTGCGGGTCCACCAGGATCAGCAGAATCAGGAGGCTGTTTCCAGTCAGTGTGACAAAGAACATCACAGTGATGAGGGCAAGGAGACAGAAGTGGGCGGGGCTGTACTGCAGCAGGCCCAGGAGCACGAATTCTGTGCCGGTGCAATTCTCCAAACATGGCATCCTTGGGAACGCCACGCAGCTCCAAAAGAAAAAGCATGTCAGTATGGAAACTGTTTTCCAAATCGTATGGGACTGTTTGAAGGCTAACCCTTTAAAACCAGCATTGCTGATACCACAATATTTGGATAAAGTTGTGACTACAGATTTGACTTGACCAAATGTCGCTTGTCTTGTTTGGATTCATACTCTAAAATGTGAAAGACTGATGTTTAATGTATTTTGAAAGATGGGGTTGAATGAAGGGGTCTCTTACTCATGCCCACCAGCACTGTTGGCCATGGCTGCTGGTGGAACACTCCTGATCAGATTGGCTTCCGTGGCTTCACACCTCGGACTCTAGAATAAAGCAGAGCTCTGTTAGCACTGGGCATGGTGACCTCGCTATGGACACATGTGTGGGTAGGCAGAACTGATTCTCCTCCGTGGAGCTGGTGTTTTGTAGATGTTCCTCTGACTTCAGATAATTACAGGTTTCTCTATATCACGAGTGTTTCACACTCAGTTTCTCCACAGATGTCACTCATTCTTTGGGCCATTCACCCCACCTCAAGAACAATCCTGTGGAATTTTACCCTTGGTGATGAAGAAAGGAGGCATGGGCCCCACAAGAGGTGCTCCCATTGGAAGTCCTCCATGTGCTGCAACCTGAGGACAGTTAGAGCCCCACTGCAAAACAAGACAGGCCTTCCTCCAGCATGCCTGGTGCCGCTGCCCAGGCCAGGCTCCTCAGACACACTGCAGCCCCACTGCCCAGGTCGAGCTCTAAACTCCTCCATCTCACATTGCTTTAAGAAACACTCTTAATACTTCTCTTAGTGGTAAAGCAAAGCTTTACTTTGTGGAAGTCAGAGTTTGACAAAGATATGTTATCATTTGTCAGCCCATCATTTAGCACAGTAAGGCACACTGCTGTTTCCTAGATAATTTTGCCCACTTTCTGACTTAATGTTGCCCTCTGTTTTCTGGAATTTCATACATTGTAAGTATCACATTATAAATTATGTTCTGATGGTTTGCAAGGTGGGGAGGAGAGTAGTTTGTGTGGAATGCTGAATTAAAATACATATTTTCATGTTAAATCTTCATCAACAATTTATTCCATGACCTGTGTTTGCTTTTAAATATGGAACACCATACACTGGATGATTAACACAGACAACCCTCCTACCAAAAAAGAGAAAGAAAGAAAGAAAGAAAGAAAGAAAGAAAGAAAGAAAGAAAGAAAGAAAGAAAGAGAAAGAAAGAAAGAAAGAAAGAAAGAAAGAAAGAAAGAAAGAAAGAAAGAAAGAAAGAAGCTAAATAGCAGAGTAAGTTGATGACTATCTATCATCAGGATAAATAGTATAACCAGAAAACAAAAATAAAATAACAGCTATAGGATTTACCAACATCATGCAACATGGCTGATTACCTGGACATCAGAAAAAAATTAGTGAGGTGGTTTTTAGTTCACATCCAACAGGTTTTTCTTCTGGATATTGCTATTTTTAGTAAACTAGAATTAAAATAAACCATAGTTCATGTGATGCAAATACTATTTTTATGTTAACATTTCGTGCTACAAATCTCATGTTTGGGATGAATGACAAATCTTGACATAAGCATACCTTTTCTCACATGTCTTTCCATCTGGATCTTCCACCTTTTCCCACTCATTATTTGCCCAAAATCTGCCAGAATCTTCCCAAGGTGTAAGCAAAGCTTCTAGACCCACCGCCAACTGACCACTCCAGTCCCTGTAACACCAACCTTCATATTCTATAGTGGTGTGTCACCATGGTTACAATGGCCCTTGATATGTCTGCTGCCTTGCCCCTTCCATTCCTGTGGGTAATGCCTCACTTATTTCTAAACGTCTTCTCTCTGTAACTAGTATGCACTCCAAACATCAAATTTTTATCCTATTCTTATTTATTCGTTCACAGAAATCAGACATGATTAAATACATAGGTAATTACATGTTTGTGGAGGGAGCTGGAGTGTAGAATCACAAAACATCTGTCTTCCGTTCCCTGTACTTACCAGCTAAGCTTGTGTCTTTGGATGAAATTACGCATTCTGAGCCTCTGCTTTGTTACTAACAAAATTGAGATGATGGACAATCTATTTCATATTTTCCTTACATGAAATATGTGAAAGGGCAATATGCACTTTTAAATTGTTAAGTTTTAAATGAATGAAGCAATACTATTAAATTGCATTTTTCTTAGGGTAACAGGCAAATTGACTAGCTCCAGATCTAACCGAGAAAATTAAATGGTCTTTGTGGTACCACAAAGCACATTCTCAAGAGTGAATGGTGCCTTTTGGCAAACAGGTGACTGAGTAATCGACGTATCTTTCCTTTACAGCCCTTCTCACTCCCAGGAGCCAGAGCCTGTTCACGTTATGGCGTTTACTGTATCAGAGCCATCACTGTCATCCTCCTCCTGTAGCCACTAGAAGAGTGTGAACATGGACGGCCTGTGCTGCAGCACCCAGAAATGTTTCCTCTGCAAGCACCACGAAACGGCAGCCACTGTGTGCACAGAAGATGCTGTCAGCAGAAAGTAGGGTAAACGCTGTGTTTGTAACCCCACTCAGCCCACTGTGGGCTGCTGATTTTATGCAAGTTTATGTTGTGGGCCCTCACGTCACCCCCACCCCAGCACGATGAGATGATCAGGTGATCGGATGATGAGCCCACCCTCAGAAAACACTGTTGACCTCTGAGCTTCTTCAGGGTAGTAGATGGAGCACAGTTAAGGCTGCCAGCATTTGCATTTTTCCTGTTTATCCTCATTATGCACCCCAAATCCTTAGGGCTGGTTATTTGCTTCCTTCCTCCTCTCCCTCTCTCTCCTTCACTTCTCTTTCCTCCCTTCCTCTCCCTTCCTCTCTCTCTCTTTTTCTTCCCTCTCTTCTTCCTTCCTTCCTCCCTCTATCCCTCCCACCCCCCTTCCTTCCTTCTTTCCTTTGTACTTCCCTATCGCTTTGCATTTCATTGGGTCTTTAAAAGTACTAGATTTAATTTCAAAGTTTATATAACCTGGGAATTTTCTTTTAAGTAAAAATATTCATTTTTGTTAACTTAAAATGGAGGTGATACCTCACACAGTATGAAAAAATCCATTCAGAAAACTTGAAATGGTTGATTCATGTGCCCATTGGATTTCTAAGCACTATACTGTGCTTCATATGTTGAATGATGAATGATGAATATGGAAGATAGAATCTAATTAATGTAAGAGTACAACAGAGAAACTGTGGAGTGGCAGTGAGTATTTCAATAGGACTGGATCTCAACAAGGACCTAGAAAGGCAACAAGCAACAAATGCAAAATATATTAGGAGAAGAGAATTTTGTAACAGCTTGCTTTCGTAAAAGTGTTTATTTAAAATAGAATAATGTACATTTGGTCGGAGAAATTCAAACAAAGTTTACTTTCTGCAAATGATTGTTTTATGATTCACAATTAGACTTTCATAGCCACCTTAACTTTGAAGCTGATAAGATTCTACTACCTTATCACTACTTGGAGAAAATTGCCCAGTTTTAATGAAGACATAAAAGACAATACGCTAAATAGAAACCAGAAACAAGTTTTGATCCCTCACTGACACTGTGGTGATGCAATTAAAATGATGTTCACTGGAGTCCTCGTAGATGCAGCCACACGAGGAAGAATCTTTGTTCACACAACAGAACCATCACACCCGTAAGATCTCAAAAACAGCCCCAAGCCTCTGACGCCCACCCAAGGATGTGTGTCTGAAATTTAAGTGATGAAATCTTCCATAGTTACATATTTTAAATTATGTGTTTAGAAACATCCATTTTATAGCTACTTACTTACCCTCAAGGTGATTAATTGGTGTCTCACAAAGACCAGGAAACCCACCAGATACACTTAGCACCTTGTACTGGATCACAAATGGAATGCTTAAGCTAAAGAAATAGGTCTTTCAGTAGGAATATTTTCCGGTATAACTGTCTCATGTGTCACCAGGAAATAAATACTAACCAAAGCAATCTAAATCCAAAGGTGTGTGAGTGTGGGGACTTGATTCTTCTGGGGATTGCATCATCTCAGCTCATCTCACGGGGAACCTCTTCACAGTGATTGGAACTCACGAGTGGGGGCAGCCATGGGAAGCTAATTACCTCCCCACCCTCACTCTCCCAAGAGAAAGAATTCTCTTATGTTGTGAGGGCCCACAACATAAACTTGCATAAAATCATCAGCCCGCAGTGGGCTGAGTGGGGTTACAAACACAGCGTTTACCCTACTTTCTGCTGACAGCATCTTCTGTGCACACAGTGGCTGCCGTTTCATGGTGCTTGCAGAGGAAACATTTCTGGGTGCTGCATTAAACAAGATTTGAGTAAATCAAAAGAAACTTGGATATGTTTACAGGCATCAACACAATTATCTGAAAAATCTTTAGATCTCAAGAAGACATTTGTGAGAAATTGGGTGGGGTTTCCTAATTCTCAATGTTATGCTGAAGTTAAATTGATGGAAACATTACATAAAAGTTATCAAGACCATTTAGTTGGATCATTTAAAATGTTATGATAAAACACCAGTAATGGTGGGGTTGGAAACTGGTGTGGTAATTAAGATACTGCATTGGGTTGCCTACATTCCAAATCAGATTGCTTGAGTTTGAGTAACAGTTCTGCTCCCACGTCCAGCAAACCCTGGCAGGCAGCAGGTGATGGCCCAATATGTTGCCTCCTCCCACTAACGGAGGAGGCCTGGATGGAATTCCTGATGCCCAGTATTGCCTGGCCTGGCCTCATTTATTGTGAGCATTTGAGAGAGAAAAAAAAAGGTGGAAGATCTCTCATTCTCTCTTTGTCAGCTGAATAAATTAAACACATTTTTAAGTCAAAAGAGTAAATTTGAAATTGGAATTCGTACCGACTATGGTTCACTCAAAATAATGATGTCTTCAATTAAAATGGTTAAAAAATAGAATAAGTGTTCAATATATTGTTGTTCCTTTAAAATATA